TACTACTACTACTACTACTCCGACGATGACGACTACTTCTACTTCTACTTCTACTGCTTCTGCTTCTGCTTCCGCTTCCGCTTCCGCTTCTGCTGCTGCTGCTGCTGCTACTGCTGGCACCGCTACTGCTACGGCTGCTGCCACTGCTGACAGCCTCAGCAACTACATCAACATACAACAAGAACAGGCTAGGGGCTCCATCCAGATGTTCTGGCCGACATTCGTCTGAAGCTGGACTCCTGACTTTTTCCAGCTGTGGCGCGCCTCAAAAAGGTACGGTCCCGATAGATTTGCAAGCTGGCTTGGACCTGCAAAGAATCCCTACATCTCGTATATACTGATCCCTGGGCGGAGGCGACGGCAGTAGCTTTAACTGGACAAAGCGTGCTGTGAAACGCGCAGGCGGTGATTGAAACCACGCGTCCAGATATTGCTGCTTGGCGGCGCCTGTTTTGTCAATGTTTTTGTTTGACTCAATGTTGTTGTATCAGTTAATAAAACGAAAAGTCGTGAGACTCTGCGGGGATCCAAAATAACCACCGAGGCCATGATAGAGTTGGACGAGGAGCGGCTGGATCGTATGCGGGAGGCCGTGCTTCTTCCCCAAGTGTCTAGAAGAGCCAGATTCTGGAAGTGTTGATAGCTTCGAATGCGCAATCTGTTTTTGGTCGTGCCTAATGCAAGCTCAGCTTACTACGTCACCTACACCTAGCAGCAGTGGCGAGCAAGGCTTTCACGGACAGACCCGATAGTAGACTTGCGCCCAGCTCATGCTTTTGCGCTGCGAAAAGAAACCCTGTGGCTGGCTGGCGCACGCAACGTGCCATGCGGCCTGCCATCATCATCAGAGTCTGGCGGTGCGGTCGGGAAAGGATGATTTTCTTGGAAGAAGTAGTTCGATCGAGCTCATTTATGCATTGTCTGCGGGCTGCTGGCATGCTGATCGGAAGCCGTACACCCAGAATCAACATGACCAGTGGCTACTGATGCTTGCATTGCAGGCACCACCACCGGATCCGGTTCCGGAGCACCTCCAGCGGGACTCCCCAGCATGCAGAAGCTGTGCGAAAAGTATGGGACACTATGATCCCAAACTGCATGTTCTTGTTTCATGTTTCAAGCATATATGCCTGGGACAACACCAGACACCAATCGCTCAGATTTTGACTTCGCGGCTCCGGAAGTCCACACTTCGTGCCCATGCCAACTCAAGGCCCTAAATCTTTCGCACATGACCGGAACGTCCCGGCATATGGGAGAAATCACAATCCCCGTGGCCAGAGGACCTTCCGTCCCCACACAGCTTGTTTTGAGCCTGCGGCCCCAGATCGCCTTGAACCAGGCCTATCACGATCTCTGCTCCCGCTCAAGGGTCGGCTCCGGCATTCAAGCGGGGCTGGCCAGATTGCAGGGCTCTCTGCGGTGCTAGGCAGCGTGTCAGAGCTCATAGGCGGCTAGGGCTTTGAAAGGCATAGCGGGGACGGATGCATCGACAAGCAGCAGCCGAGATAAGCTTAGGCTATTGACCTTTTTGTTCAGAGGGTCACCATTCTAGCTTGCTGAGCTCTAACGGGAAGTCCGTATGTCCAATATATCATACTCTCATCAAGCACCACCTGACACACAACGCGGGGTTGGAGAATGTTGGTAGTCTGCGCGGCTTTATATTCCTTATACAGGCAAACTCCAATATTCCCCCACTACTATACATCTATCCACCGCAGTCCCTGCATTACACACTGGCTGGAGTCGCCTAGCGCCTCTATAGGCTCCAGGCATTTAGAAGCAAGCTGGATACTATAATGTCCTGCATGCTTGCATGTGGGCAACTCAGATCGTCTGGACTGTGTAAGACCCTAACCCCCCAGGTACCTACTATATAGGGCCCTAGGGGCTCTAGTACCCTATATAGTAGGTACCTGGGGGGGTTAGGGAGATACCTGTCGGAGCATAGGAAAAGGCGCCTTTCAGTTCGCAGCTGCCGGGAAGCGCGAATTGGGTGCGGGGACTTAGGGGTCTTCCGGTTTAAAGGATTCGGGTTTCGCTAACATCATCGTTTGCCTGTGTAGATTGGCGGTCAGTCAGCTTTCCACACCGGCAGCTGGAGGGAGTTGCTGCTGGGCTGCGCTGCTATTATTCTGGGCTTTCCTTCGGAGTTGTGACGTGGCAGGCTGGAGACATCCTGCCAGCGGGCTGTGTGGAACGCAGAGGTGGCCAATGCCTTAGTTGGAAGTTTCAGTGAAGCTGGGAGAATTATCACTACAACTTGCTTTCCAAGAGCTCTCATGGATTAGGTGGACGATGTGTGCTAAGGCCGGAGAACGCATCACTGGGGAGGTGGTCTTCGATGCAGACGACGAGTACGGCCTTTCTGAGGCGACTAAAGGTCCCAAAGGGTCCAAGTAGTGGTATAGTAAGTATAGTAAGTACTTTTGGGTCCCAAATACCTACTAAGTACCTACTATAACGGTACTTGGACCCTTTGGGGGTTTCGATGTGTTTCAGACCACCGTCCGCCAACCCTCCATCGAGTTGTTCTCACCGTCGGTGTCGTCGTTGTATCTGGGTTACCTAAACCCCCCAAAAGTAGGTAAAATAATGGCCCAATACCCATAAAAGGCTGTTATTTTACATACTTTTGGGGTCCAGGTAAACTGTAGGCACCGCCGTTGCGGGTCACAGGAGTGGTGGAATAGCAATAGACGCACCACCCGTATCTCTGAGCGAATGGTCGTCCAACGTATGGGTTTCCACGCGGGGGCTCCACAGATGACCACGGGTTGGCGCTTGCTGCCGGGTAGAGCAGCAGATCCTTGGTTTAGGGTTCAGAGTTCAGATCCTTTTTGCCGTCGTCGTCATCAGCGTGGTCGTGAAAGTCGTCAACCGTCAATCATCGTCGCCGGCGTCGTCGTTATTGTTGTTTTGTGGGAGTAGGTGCAGTAGCTGCAGAAGTCAAAGATTGTTGTCGATGCTTGTAGCGTGGGGGGGCGGCTATCAGGATCATGAACATCGTCTTTCATCAACATTCATTATTCCTCTCAGTCTCTAGCAACTGCGGCAGTGGCTGCTTATGACCGCGCATGTGGCTTTGCAAAGAAGTCAAGTTGAAGTTGTTTCCGCTACTAGGGCACGTACTCGAGGTTGGGTGTTCGTGGCTTCAGCTCTTCTGGGATAGAAGTGAAGAGCCCCAGGGGCATGCTTCGCAAGCAGGCCGGCAAATGCCCGCAACACGTCAGTTCCCAGAGATCCTCAACAACGTCATCTGGCAGTTGCCATCACAATCTCGTTTCGTGCTGAAAAGTCAGGATGTTCGGATGTATTTTGGCGTGCACATTTCCGCCCTTCCTGAGCCAGGAGAACAATGCCTATTTGGGACGCCCGGTGCTCAGCTTTGATATCGCCTGAGTCTAAGTTGATATGTTTGATCCTGGCCTGGAGAGCAACTTGAGGATTTGTGTCAATTTCGGAGCCTGTGCGTCTTCCTCAACAGAATGAGAAGAGACCCAAACATGTGAGCCAGATACAGGGATATCTTCCCGTGTTCTTGGAGCTTTATCTTGTCTTTCGAAGCTGTTTATTAAGTGTATTGCATGTATGGACAGACAGTGGTTGGTTTTGCTTTATGTCATAAAGCAATATGTAGCTTGCTGCTTGGAGGACCGAACTTTACCTTAAGTATGCAATCGCGGCGACACAACGCACGACAAGGAGTAGCAGTAGCAGTGGAGCCCTGAGGCGGCGACTTTGTGTCCCTTGTTCGGCGAGGCAGCAGTGCCCTTAGTAGCCTTTCGCTTGCATCGCCCTGAGCAAACCGGAGACGAGAGGTTGGGAAAGTTGAGGGTAGTATGTTCCAGTATGCAAGCATGGCAATGAACGAGCAGTATCATCTTTCTATGTGTCTATATAATATACTGTAGCCGGGCTTGACCCCTGTACGCCACACATCCAGCCGCCCGGGAGAATTGACAGCAACCAGGACGTGTAGACTGTAGAGGTCCTCAGCAATTACTGCTTTTGGGCAGGTACCACCAGTTTTTCACAGCTGTTCATTCCTGACGATTATGGGTAGCTTTCTGGTGCACCCAAAGTGCTGAGAGCTATCGTTTTAGATAGTCCACTTTGGTCCACTACATCTTGCTCATGCTTCAGACAAACACGGCTCGCGCGGCGGCAAACGGGAACCCACTTCTTCGTCAGGAGGTCTTGTCCCTTTCGAAGAAGCCAACGAGACATGTCATAGCAGAAAAGCAGTAGTTGTGGTTGGTGGTGGTGGTTGTACTCGACGACGCGATGAATTGATTCGTGCCGCCGGTCTTCCCAGCAAATTTTCCATTCCGGTCAAGGTTACTATCACGAAGATCCTTGTTAGCGTCGCGACAGTCCATTCTCGCGCTTTTTCCAAGACATCCGGACCGTCTGTCTGACTGTTGCCTCTTGTGTTTCTACTATTATGCAAGTACTGTTATCTTCGTCGCCATTCAGATTCACGTCATTGTTATCAGGCCGTGATGGCCAGCACTGCCATGTTGTCTTTTGTCGGGTTCTCGTGGTTTCGGGGCCTCGGGGTTGCTTCTTCTTGACCTGAAGCCCCTGAGCCCTGGATCCAAACCGACGGGGCAAGCTACACCCCGAACCTCACAAGCAGGCTCCTACACTGCCGAACCCTAAACCCCACACACCCAAGACCGTTGCTGCGAGAGCCGGTGTAAGGCGAGAACGGCGAGTTCGCGCCCTTCGCCCTGAAGGTGCCTCCGCGGTTCTTCACTTGGTGCAGTTCTTAGGGGTTCAGGGTTTTAGGCTCCCGAATCCGCAGAGTCTGGGTTCAAAAAGAGGGTTTAGGGCTAAACCATAAACCCTAAACCCTAAACCCTTGAAGACAGTATCGTGGTGGACCTTGCCTGGCTTGTCCGAGTGTGGAGTGTCAAAACCCTTTAGGGAGCTTTAAGGTGCAGGTCTTCAGCGCCTGTTGGGCTTGCGGGTGGTACTTAAAGGATCATGGGACTTAGTAAGTAAGGTTACAAGTCCCTTAATTGGACTTATAAGTATAGTTACCCTAGTTATAACCCTGCTTCCTAAGTCCCACGATCCTCTAAGTAGGTCGTGGCTCTTCGGGGGGCAGGCTCGAGGGGGTTGTCAGAGACCGATGTCTGAACTTCTTCCAGGCTCGAAGTGTGGGAAACCTAGGGCTGTCAGCTTTACTGCACATCCTTGAGTGCACCGGGTCTTCTTAACCTTTGAGCTCTTTTTTGGATCACTTCGGAGCTTTGGATTTGGTCCCCAGAAATTCTCGGCAAGATCTTGTCCTGAATCCTCAGAACACTTGGTAACTTAATAGTTTCAAGCCTGTTATAATATATATATATATATATACATACCAAGCTAATGTAATATTATCAGATAATATGGTATCTTCAAAGGAGCCTGGATCAATCCGCTCTCATATGAAAGGCCCACAGAGCCGCAGCAGCAGGGGCCTCTGCAGTCATCTGCGCAGATGTGGAGGCAGCCCTGCAATGAGTTACTATAGGGGGCATAATAATTAGAATAGGGTTTGGCAGTATAGTATATATACTATCATTACTATAAGTATAATATGGAGCCCCCAAGACCCTATTCTAATTATTAAGGCCCCTACGTTAGCCAAAGCAGTTGCCGTAGCGTCAAGTATCTGTGATGTTTTGTTGTTTCTCTCGCGTGTCGGACTCCGGTCTCGTCTGCCTCCTTGGACCTCGAAAGCTTAAAACCTGCGAGCATATTTCCTGCCTGAGATGTACTCTGATGTGCTCAGTTGCTGTGGCTGCCTTTGTGGACCAACTTGCCCGATCCTTTCCGAGTTTGACCGCTCCCTTTCAGTGTTTTGATTTCGCGGGCATTGGCGCCACCCCGTGAACTTCATGAGCATCGTCAGCCAAACGAGATGCACCCTTAGATCCACCCTTTCGGGTTTGCTTTGCAGGAGCGCCTGCGGCCTGCTCAGTTTCTCATGCAGCCTTTGTGGAGTTCCTGTTCATTCATCGCAAGCTACATAAGGGCACTCCTAGGCTTGATCGGATTTTGTGATTCCTGTATGTAGGCCTCAGGTGCCGATTGTGCACTCGCCTGTTCTTGGAATGCTGAGGTGTGGAGCAACCTGATCTACCTACTCCTGAGACCCACCGCATCAGCCAAACACCAGTTGGCATAACCGCGAGCTCAACCGTCTTTCAGTACAGTCGTCAAAACCTGTGCTTCCGAGCCATGGACAAAACACACTCAATCAGAAAAGGGCAAGGAGCTTTGCATCAGTATCGCAGCTCTATCAACTCTAGGCCGGCACACCGCATCGGCGCTGCGACTGTCTGGGGAGACCTTAGCCCAAGCCTCGGATCTCATTCAAGGAATTTAAGGATACCTTGACCTGGAAAGCAAAGTCGGCAATCCAATGCTTGGAGGTTGTCGAAGGGCTTGCTGCAGATGTGTCCAGTAAATTCGAAGGGTCACTTGAGTACTCATTGGCTGAACTTTATAGGGCTAGGGCTGGAACTTGGGGTACCCCGGTATCCCTAAAGGTCCAAGGCATTATGGAATAAGCGGCAAGTTATTGGCTCGTCTGTGGGGCCGGGAGAACAATGATTAGTAGCACATTAGGTGCTTGAATCTTGAGGGCATGGAGTATTTGCTGGTCTTAGCCTTCTCGGAACCCGAGAAACCAGAACAATCTGTAGCTCAGCACTCTTTCTGTGTCATCGTGGTTGCTTTCAATGTTTGCATGTTTTGCATAGCTTCCATGACATCGTCACAGGTTGTCAATCCTTGACAGTGGGTTTCCGGTTGAGCATTGGTACCGGACCTACTCTATGATTACATATAGTTAGGACATATTAGGACTTATTCTATACCCAGACCCTTGTCCTGATCGCTGCGTGACCCCGACCCCGACATGAAGGTTAAACCGTTCACCAGGGCAAAGTTCGGGGGGGGCGGCTCCTTCCACACTATGGGGACCCTCGATGTAAGCCCTTGTTCGGGTTTAGGGTTCAGTTGTCGGGGATGTGGTCGTTGGGGATGTGCTGGCACAAGCTCTAGATCTCGAAAGAAGGGTATCAGTGTGCACAGTAAGGAGCATGCCCTCACGCTGCCGAGGAATAGCTTGGAAGACGAAGAGCTGCACATTTCCATCAATTCCGGCTACTCGTCCGGATATTTGGGCAGTCTTGTGTAAGGTTCTGCGGATCTTTCGGAACGCGGCGGGTGAGGAGAGCACATGACATGAGCAATGAAGGAATACGACGGTAGTATATATACATATACATATTTATGTATACATTCACATAGTCACATATAAATATGTATCTCTATATATATATATAGACTCATATATAGATAGACATAGAAGGAGAGAGAGAGAGAGAGAGAGAGAGAGGGAGAGAGAGAGAGAGGGAGAAAGATAGTTGTGCCACACGATTGCATAGATACACCGGCTGTTTTCCACCAGCTCGACATCGACGATAGAGAGACAGTGCGGGTGGCCTTCGAAGAGCAGCACAGGGGTTCACCGTCTTACGCAATGGTTTCCTGTGAAGGAAGGCGAATTAAAGGCCCTACCTGGACCCCAAAAGTATGTAAAATAACAGCCTTTTATGGGTTTTGGGCCATTATTTTACCTACTTTTGGGGGGTTTAGGTAGTAGGGCAGCCGTGGTTATGAGGTACTGCTTCTTCCGAAAGCCGACGGGGAGAAGCTGATGGAGTCTCGGACTTAGACCTGTTTCCGGACGGAAGCAGGATGAAGGACCCGCGATCGCAGATCACAAGAAGGATTCGTAAACCCCGAAATCGTTATGTAACGTCCCGCGTACGTCCGCGAACCAAGGACGACGACAACACTAGCAACCATGTTGATTCTGGCAACTTTGCGAAGTAAAGACAACTGCAGCGGAACGCATCAAGACGTGCTTTTGGAGCTGCAGGCATCGCGTACACGTAGGGGGAGCTGTCGTTTGAACATGACGACCACCAAGAGTGTGGCAAAGAGTTCGACACGTCTCAGACTGATGACAAGCACCTTTAGCAGAGGCCCGCCCGAACCCCAAACGGCCGAAAATACCAGGTATTGGTGGTTTAGAGGAATGTGTTCTATCAGCAATATACAGACTGAACCTGTAGCTGTGTTAGGTCACGATTGTGCTTGTGGAACCCATTTTGTTTGCAAATTGGCTTCTATCTGTAAAACATGTTAGTGCCTCGTTTGCTGCAAGTGTGGCTCGCAGAAATATTAATGCACTTCGCCACCGCATTGGCAGAACAACAGCAGTGGAAGATCAGACAGGCTTGAGGCATGCTGGCCTTGAGAAGGGAACATGTTTGTGTTTGCTTCAGTTTGACAAAGAGGTAGCCAGTGTCTTTTCGAAGCTGCTTTCTGACTTGTAAAACATGCGTGCAGCTTCCGAAGCATGCAGTGAGACAGAGGATGCGAGAGATGAGCAGGAGGCGGACACCCAAGGACAGCCACAGCACTGTCAGGGCTTGAGCCCCTTTTTTTCACGCAGCCGCAAGTCCAAGCTGGCTTCGCGTCTGAAAACTTCTTACACCGGCTCCCGCATCGTCGAAGATGAGGGCGGCCAGGCTGAGAAAGTTGACAGAGTTTGGCTAAGCATCCGTCCCTGGGTATGTTTGCATGCCTTGGTCGCAATGCAGCGAGCGCATCCGATCTGCAATCCGGGGTGCGAGGATTGGGAGGAAGAAGGGGCATCGGAAAGAGCTGTACTGGCGCACTCACGGAAGGAAAACGCACCCACAGCCGAGGAGTTTGCTTGGACCGCCTTTATGGTTGTATCACTGCCGCCTGAGTGCCTGGCTCGGGCACTGGAGTTCGTCCATGGCGATGTCAGTAGCGTTTTTGCGCCTGAACCTCGGGCTCCCTATGCCACACACTGTTCTTCGGAAACTAAGTCAGCTCAGGTGAGGAACTGGCAATGCTGCAGATACCTTCTCTCACAGCAGTCGTGCTTGCATGGCCGCGTTGTTCAATCGGGACGTTCCGGGCGGTCCTTGTCTTTGGCCTGCTGGTATTGTACGGCCACTTTTCCCCACGGTCTTGAAGGCGTTGAGCAACTCAAAGCTCATGCGGAGGCTGCCCATGCGTCGGAGATTTTGGCGTACATCCGCAAGACCAGGAAGGTCAAAGCCCGAAGGCAGCGGGAGCGATACCAAGCCGGTCCCGGCGGCCAAGTAAGGAGGGATTTGGAGCTGCAGAAGCAGCTAGGCAAGCTTCGATAACATTGTCTGGGCAGTGCAGAAGTCCTGCACTGCCTTGTTGAACCCTGATCGGTGGTATCTGCAGTAGCAGTAGCAACTCTGTCTCACCATATACGGCTGCTGGAAAGCTACCTATAGTCTCCATTGTAGTTCCTTTTTTTGGTTTAACCAAATATATATTAAGGATTTTATGAGGTATCCCCCCAAAAGGAACTACAGTGGAGACTATAGGTAGGTCTTGGCTTGCATCGCCGTCACCTTCAGATTTGTGCAAAAGGCGGCGGCCGTCGATCATCCTTGGTAACGTTGCCCTCAGATGCTCAAGGTTCACTGCCTTCGCCAAGCAGCCCAGTGCGAACACAGACCCGAAGCCTTACTGTAGGCTTTGCAAGAGCGGCCGGTGTGCGGCGCCCAGTGAATGCATGCCTCAGAATCAGAATGATGTGAATGCCTGATAAGATGTTCAGGGACATGGGAAACATGGAGGCATCATGGCTTTGTCGAACCCAAAGCAGCTGATAACCGCGCAATGTCGCCCCCGACGTTTTACGTTGCGAGGTCCGACCGCAGACTTCACGGTGAAGTCAGATCCATATCCCAGGAGGACGCTGGCCAAGAAGCTTTGCCAGGCCACAATGCCCCATGCCCCACAAGCCAGCGCATGTAGATTCAGAACCCATTGTCACGACAGCTGCCTCAGCATTAGTTGTTTTGCACTGGCTGGTTTCCTGCCGGAGCTTACAGCTTTCCCCGTAAAGTTTAGCTTTCAGGGTCGGTTTCCCGAGGTCCCAGAAACACCGAATTCCCAGGCCCACGTCAGACTGAGGTAGAACCCCGAAAGTTGGAACATCAATATTCGCACGCCCGTACAGCAAAGCATAGAGATTGCCATTGCCCTGCTCATCCTTAAGCATATAATTCAAGCACCAAGTTGTTGGAGAGTACTGTAGGCTGCGGTTGGTTGTCGAGAAGCCACGATCGCCCCCAGGGCTTCGCGCTAATCTTCTCTGGCATTGGCGTGCTGTATGGCATCATCCAGTGCCGACCCTGTCCGGGTTCAAGGGTTTCATGGCGGATCTGATACAGCACAGCCGTGCTTGGCATGTGCTTTGATCGTTGCAGCTCAAGAACCTTGTCCATGTGCTGGTTCTGGCTTTTCCGTTATGTCGCCTGTTGCTTTCTCTCTCTCTCTCTCTCCTCTATGCCCCCCTCTCCCTCGCTCTGTATGTATCTCTCTCTCTCTCTCTCTCTTTGTCTGCTCCAGTTTTTCGTTCCTGCCCTGCTGGCTCTTTGTCACGCCCTTCTCAATCTAGCCCCCCCTTCCATCTCTCTCTCGCTCTCTCTGTCCCTCCGTGCCTCCCTCCCTCCCCTCCCTCCCTCCCTCCCTCCCTCCCTCGCTGGCTCTCGCTCTCGCTCTCCCTACCCCTCTCGCTCTCGCTCTCGCTGTGTTCTCTTTCTCTCTTTTTCTCTCTATCTCTCTCTCTCTCGCTCGCTCTCTCGCTCTCTCTCTCTCTCTCTGTCTCTCTCTCTCTCTCATTCTCTCATTCTCTCATTCTCTCTTTCTCTCTCTCTCTCTCTCTCTCTCTCTCTTTGCCAGCCGCATCGCCTGAATTCAGGCACTGGCACAGGTGTTCAATGTGCATGCCTCCGCAAACACTCTGTAGATTTGTTTGCAGACCAAAGGCGGAGACATACGGCTGTATTACCCAATCAGAGCTACCGTTGTGTGTTTGTGTTTGGTATTGTTTGTCTCTGTGTGTGTGTGTGTGCGCGTCCGTCCGTCCGTCCGTACGTCTATTTTGTTTGTTTTTTGGTTTTTTTTGGCGCGGCTGTTGTTTTTATCCGTCTCTCTTTCTTTATGTTCCTAGGCGTTTTGTTGGTTGCTGTTGTCTTCCTTCAGTCCGATCCATACATTGTGCTTGTGCATGAAATGAAACAGACGCTCTCTGGCTTTCTTTCAACTCCATTTCGATGGTCACGTGACACTGATGCTTACCCGTGTGCGCTTGTTTGTTGCACATTAATTCAGGACACCTGCATAGGGTAGAGCTAGTTCGATGAGTGGGTATAGACTTGTGCCTATAGACCGTATACGCTGTTGCCTTTGCCGCTGCTCTGCGCATATCTCCTTAAGTACTGAGTGCGAACCGAGAGACCTTCATCTGGCTTGTGCGAGTTGTGAGAGCATTAAATACTAAGTTACTAAGCCCCAACAGGCTTCCAGGACAACAAGTGGATTTCTGCAGTGTTTCCTAGATTGCGATTCGCAATTAAGAAGGGCTTCGACGCTGTTGTTGAAACCAGCGCCGCAGCGTCATCCAACCCACTCCGACATCTGAGAACCTCACACAGCATGCACGTCTTCCGAGCTGTAGGCGGGACATGCTGAAAGCAATCAGATTCAAGAATAAGGGATTGTGGCATGTGTTGCACACTCGGTTCGCCATCGAAGGCCCGCAGTCCAAGCACCACTCCGGTCACCCGTTGTCCCTTGCATCCTGAAGTGCAACACTTTCCGAACCGGCCTGCCCTTCGCGTGGGCTATTCGGGCACTTTTGAGGTGCTTCGCCGTCGAAGTAGGCGGCGAGTTCCTCGCTGCGGAACAAGCGGCCAGGGAGATAGGCCGGCTTCAATGGCTTGAGGGACCGGTCGCGGCGTTCCGGAGACACCTGGTGTTTCGGCATGGGACCCTGGTTCCTGCAGGGCTTGTAGGACGGTGTAGGGGACACAGCACACTTTGTGTCTCTACTGTCGATGCGACTTCCGGCTGTGGCCAGGAATTCGATGCGTTTGCATTGATGTGGACCTGAACAGGTGGGCGGGGTTTGCCTACTTGGAGAGTCCTGTCTTTTCAGTGCAAACGACAGAGTGATTGCAGATTGTGCAAACGTATCCGTAGGCTTTGGGGAGGTAGAATTCGACCATGGTGCTTATGATATTATACTGACCAGTGATCCGAGAGCAGCGCAGGCACATGCGCACAGAGGATTGCACATGGACATGCCAATCCCTAACCCCCCAGGTACCTACTATATAGGGTACTAGAGCCCCTAGGGCCCTATATAGTAGGTACCTGGGGGGTTATAGGGAATCGTAATTCCGAACTTCTCGCTGCCCGACTTTGGCCTGCGCAGTCTGCAGGTTTTGGAGTCGACTGGGGTGGGCGATTCTGTTGGGTTCTTATCTCACCGGCCTGCTGGGAGGAGCCTGCAGTTGTGGAAGAGTCCCGGTCCAGTTCTTGAGTTGTTCTCTCTAATATAGGAACCTGATTAAGAAACCCTTTGCCTTTAATGGGTTTCTTAATATAAAACCTAATATATTGGGGTTATAGGGCCAGGGTTTCTTAATCAGGTTGTTACATTACATTGGAACGAAGCTCGGAGTAGACAAGCTAGGTCTGGAACATGCTGGAACTCTACCAGCCTAGAAGCTATGAAGGATTCTGGAAGGATTGTTTTATCATGTATATACAGTGTTTGCGCACACTTAGTTGTTGCGGGTGGCCTGTTTATTTCGCTGCGAAAGATAGTGAAGCTTTAGCTCCACATTAGCATTGTTCCAATGGATCTTGGCCCGAGCACCCTCAAGCGTTTCTGAAAAGAAGATGTCAACCATTATCGTACCAAGAGCATGCGGGTGCGGGGGGGAGTGCCAATTTGGGCAGAAAGAAGTGTACAAGTATGACCAAGATTCGAAATGATTCGAAACACTACGACTGTAAACCCTAACCTTTGTAATCCTTCGTGCTGAAAGAGGGCTTATTCCCGAGGCCCCTGCCAGCTAACGTGCTCAACTCGCTCCTGTCATGGCTCGCCTGGCGCTTAGCAAAGATCTTCAGATATTCTGCATCCACGGCAGAGGTTAACGCTGTCTCGACGAAGAATCGCATTTGAGGTACCGGAGGGCTGCCCTGAGACGGAAAATAGCTCCAAAGCACCAGCGGAACGTCACAAGTAGAGTTTATGTTGAGCCCTATTACTATATGCAGTGAGGCTCATGTAAGGATCTGGCTAGACAATGTACAACAACACTTGGCTGCTCAGGCGTTTCCGCGGCTTTTCTTTCAGGCCATGAAGCCGGTTCCGAGTGTGATTAGGGTTTAGGGTTTAGGGTTTAGGGTTTAGGGGTTTAGGGTGAAGGAGTCGTGGAGTGCTTAGGCCTCGTCAGTTGGCCTGTGAATGCACCCGACCCCAGACCAAGCTGTATCTAGCTGCTCTATATGCCGGCAGCTCCGCTTGGGGAAATGCCTGAAACCCTAAACCCGAAACCCTAAACCGTGGGTATGTCACCGATTAAGCATCCAAACTAAAGAAGACTCACCTCCAATCTGGGAGCCTTTGAGCTTTGCAGAACCAGAACTCTTTCGTGTCTCCAAAAACAAGCTCTACTGACCCTAACCCTTTGAGCACCAGCGGCGCTGAAGCATCCTTAACTTCTTGCCCAGTCTGAGAAACGGGGCTTGGCCACAAGTATTCTTTGAGACTCATGCTGCAAGAAGGGTCTTTGCGGTTGGTGTGTGTTTGGGTGTTTGGCTTCGTGGCGCTTCGCTTGAAGTGGCTCTCTGCTTTTGTCCGTTGTTCTCTTCCGTGCTATAGGTTCTTCTAGTTCTCGGTATCTGGGGGGCTTTTGCACTCTGGTGGCTCGGCTCTTGCCCTATCTGTGTCTTCAAAAGATCCAGGATTTTCGCAATCATGGAACCCGAGCTCCTAATCGGCCCCCCGCCCCCCCCCCCGCATCCTCTGCGACGCCTTACAGCTTGACATGCGACGTGCGCAGTTCGTGTTCCCGCCGTTCGGCACGATCGATGTGCTCGGCAGCATGGTTCTGCATGGTCGAAGCCCCAGTCTTGCTATTGCCAAGGGCTCCGAGAGTCGTCGAATCTGAGGTGTGAAGCTGGGGGTGTGGGGCAGGCTTGGGGTTTCGGGCGTAGGTCGTACAGCCTCCAAGGCAGCACACCTATGAGATAAGGACGCTTTGGCAATGAGTGTGAAAAGGTGAGGCTTGTGCAGGTCCGAGCCGCT